CAGCTACCATAGTGGACAGGACAGCTATAATCCTGGGCAGTGCTGTACCAGAAGGTTGTATTAAACCAAAAAACATTAATCTTTCAAGACTGATCAATCTTTCAAGTCTCACTCCTCCTAAAAATTGGAGATCTGACCCTTGCCAAAGTGTACTGATAAAGAAAACCACAGGTCCTAATGCCATAGGGGTAAATTTAAAAGTTTGATCCCTGTCCTTCCAGGCATTTCCAACTGTCAACTAAAACAATGAGAAAAGTATCACGCGTGGCCTCCTATAAATCTACACAATTGTTAAAATGTGTGCCAGCTTTTAGAGTTTTTTTAATTAGAAAAAAGATAAGACAGAATTAAGAAAACTATGAAAGAAGAAAAAATTATTAGAGATTTACCTATAATAATAAAACACAAAACTAGGAAGAGTTATTTCCATTGAGTATCTCTGAGTATTTAAAGGAAGAACTATCTTTATCCTTCAGATACCTGCTTCACCCTGAAAGGAGTAACACCAGGGTATTACAACCTTTATACTTTTACTATCTAATGCACAATCTATTTCTTTTGTGCTATTTACAAAATGATAGTCATTTTCAAAAAAACAATGCATATATATATATTTGTAGAAAATATAATGTGAGTCCTCTCAAGATCCACTAGACATACAGAATTTTAAGTACAGGTTGTAAGCACAGTATAAAACCAGGAAAGCATACAATTGCTTGGGGTAGTTTTCAAAATTAGCATTCTGACCCTACTTACGACAACAAGCCTGCGTTTCTTTTTTCTATACACTCCTGCACTTAAAACAAAGGTATTCTTAATGATCATATTGGGAATCTAAAACACTACAGTTCTCTGGAACACAGTCAACAGTAGCAAACCAAAGCTTTTAAGTCCTGAGCCCTACTGTCTCTGTGTCTCTTAAATAATCTTCCCTCTAATATTGCCATGGTGTTTCTTTGATATCAATCCAGAACACTTTGAGATATTCAAAGAAAAAATCAACTACCTCTCAGCTAGTATTTTAAAGTATTCTCTTTGCAAACTGGGCACCAGTAATAACTCATTCTCTCTTCAACGGTTTCATTCATTGCCAATTCCACATGCTCAAATCATCCTGTCAAATGTTAGTGAAGTTCCAAAGAGATCTCAAAACTTCAAAAAAAAAACCAAGTTTTTAGAAAAGCAGCATTTATGTAATCAATACTAGAGATTGTACATAAATTCTGATAATGGGTAACAGGAGATTTCCAAGCTAGGAGAAGGAAAATGTTGATAATTCTTTTCCATTCACATTTGATAGAATTTGGATAAAGTCACTATCCTTTTTTTCATAACCCAGAACCTTTCTGAAAGAATTTTTTTCCCCAGTTTTTCCAGAACTTTCAGGGATTTTCACAAAGGAAAACTCCTTTATGGGTGTTCACCTAATAAACAGATTACTGCTATCCTTCACACACCTGAGTGTAATTCTACAGTTACTAAAAGATAGGTAAGGCCAGGGCACACTGTTCACTCTAACCAAAACTAACATGTAATCAAATAAAAAGCCTTCCAAGTGTTATTTTATTTTAAATTATGATACCCTAGTGATATGGGATCTCAGAGGTTATCTATCTCCTTTCAGTAGTTAACAGGCAGAAGAAACTGAAGTCATCACCAATAGCTCCCTATTTATTTTTACAGTGCCTATGGCCAAAGTATGTTTTATTGATAAAACAGTGCATTTGACCCACATACAGGGGAAGAATCGCATCTTTCTAAAGAAAAGACTTTTCCTCCTTTTTCCATAATCTATGTTTGATACCATGAGCTCTGCGTGGGTGGAAGGAAAGGAATAAGAAAGTGAAACATCCTAAACGCTGTCCCCTCAGGTCATGAAGTAAAAGTATACCCCACAGGTCCTTGCTTAGTTATCTATCTGCTGAGTGGTCAACAAGCTTTAATAAAAACCCTGGGAGAATAAACCATCCAAAGCCAAAGCCTGGATGGCTACAGAGAAATAGGGAGGAGAAAAAAGACAGCAGTAAGCTGGGGAGGAAACGAAAGCATGCAAATCCCAAAGGGATAAATATGCCAACCTTCCCGCAAACGGTGGTAAGGGGCCAGGCACACTGCCGAGTAGCTGTCCTTTCCGGGCTTCAGGACAATCCATGAGAGTGGCAGAATCCTGCAGGTGGGCTGATAAATCTTGGTCTCCTCCAGCATGCTGGGGGAGATGGGAGACGCCAAAGGCCAGTGTTGCAACAAACTCGTCTTTCTTTTCTCACTCTTTAAAGAGGCCATTTATTATTTGCAGAAGATCTGATTAGCATTACTCTAGGTTAAAGTGGGTACTTCAGTCCTGCAGTGATAAGAGTTGCAAGAACAACTAGACCCCAACTTTACTCAGGGAGTGCGGCATTAAAAGCAGTGACAGCAGAAGGTCAGAATCAGTAAGCCTCCTGGAAAACATTTCTTCCTGTCAGCACTGGGCCTCCACACAGACACCTCCCTCCTCTACCCAAATGCCAAAACGCAGGACTGGGACGATTTCAATGCGTAGAGCTGGAAGAGAAGAGGGTTCCCTTAGAGAAAATGCTCGTAGCAACCAACCAACCTCATTCACCCAAAATAGTAAACAGTTGGTTTCTCTGCTCAGAACCAAAAGGCTTCTGCCAGACAAGCAGTATCACATGACCAGGTTCTCTCTTCTCTCCTCCACCTTCCTCCCTTCTTGTGCAAAGTCTGCACCGAAGTAGAAGCAGCAGCTATAACACTATACAATTTTATTTCACTCGACATTTGTTTTCAAAGTGTTTATAGATGAAAGATATCAAATTGGGAGGAAGGGAAGATACTAAGGGGGAAACTCAGGAAGAATTTACTTTGAAACAAGGCGTATCACAGCACTAAGAAGGGTACCACATACATAGCGGCTAATTAGCAAGCGTGCCCAATGAATGAATAAATGAGTGAAGAGACAGACACTTCTTAGCAAAATATTTTGCTGATAAAAATTGCTATAAGATATAGCTCAGAATATATTTGACTTTCTCATTTAGAAAGAAAATAAAGGCCCTTAAGAAACTGGCCATAGTCAGAGACAGTGTATTATGACAAAAGTAGCAGCCCACCAAACCCCTGAGATTCCTTCTCTTACCTTGAGGATCCCACCTTACCTTACTGTTTAATTTTACTCCTTAGATGTCACAGTCCCGTCATTCAAATTATTCTGTAGGCAATCAGAGCAGCTACACTAACGGACTGAATTGAAAAACCTACCCAGCTAATTATGGAAACCACTGCCACCATGACACTCACGGGTATTTTCACCTAAAGGGAGTGGTAGTGGGGAAAGGCTGGCAGCACAGCTGGTGCCAGATCCGCCACCTCATTCTTCTCCCCACCAGGTCCCTCAGCGTTTGGAAGCTGAGCAACGCACACAGTGTAGAGGCACAGAAGCAAGAACCTCTATGCTGAGCAATCTGTTCTGGTAGGAAGACAGACAAAGTATAAGAATCCACTGTATCAACATCACCTGCCATGGCCCCTACTCCAGGGGCCAACCAGGGGGCTCTGAGAGTAGAGTCACTCACCCTCATCTAGTCCCTTGCAATGCAATATGCTCAATAATTCAACAGTTGTGAAATGGAAATGAGAAAAAAAGAAAGGGAAAAAACCTCGAAGTCCTTAATTTAAGCAACATCTTTTCCTAATAAGACTATGTGAAGAGAGTTATTTGAAATGTCAGAATCCAAATACTCTTGATAAATAATTTGCTGTTGAGGATGAGGAACAACTGGAACTTTCAGACTCACTGGGGAGAATGCAAAATGATAATGCTACTTTGGAAGACAGTCTGGAAATTTCTTATAAAGTTAAACTGACACTTATCATACAATTCAGTAATCCCATTCCTTAGTATTTAAACAAATGGAAATGAAAAGATATGACCACACAAAGAGCTGTACGTGAATACTCACAGCAGCTTTATTTCAACTGCCAAAAACTAGAAGGAAAAAAAAATGTCCTTCAACTTGTGAATGGAATAAAAGTTGTGGCACATCCATAAAATGAAATATTACTTAGTGATTAAAAAAATCCAAACTACTGGTACAGACAACAGCATGTACGAGCCTGGAAAGCACTACGCTAAGTGAAAGGAGACAAATACGAAAAGACTACACACTGAATGACTGCACATTTATATGAAATTTAGGGAAAGGCAAAACTGTAAGGGCAGAAGTAAGATCAGTGGTTGCCAGAAGCTGGGAATAGGGATGAAGACTGTCTACAAAGAGGTTCAAGGAACTTTTTGATGGAAATATTCTGTATCTCTTGATTGTGATGGTGGTTTATCTTTTACCAAAACTTACTGAACTGCACCCCTGTAAAGGGTGACCATTACTGTGTATAACTTGATCTCATTTAAAAAAAAACAGATTATGAAGCGTTATGCCTAGAGGCAGAATGGAATCTTAGTTAAGAACGTAGGCTCTAGAGCTAAACTGCCCGGGTTTAAATCTTGGCTCTACTGCTTACTAGCTGCATGACCTTGAGATGCTTAACATCTCTATGCCTCATTTCCTCACCTACAAGGTGGGATAGTAGGATCCTCTCACAGGGTTGCTGTAATAAATGAGGTAATACACGCAAAGCACTCAGGACCGTGCCTATCCTATAATCACTCAGTAAATGCAAGCTGATGTCATCACACAATCACGTACACACACACAAACACGTCTGCACAGGAGAGTGAAAGGATGGTCACTATCTGGGTAGTAGGAAAGGGTGATTTTATTTTCTGTCCCCTTCTGTTTATCTGTATCTTTTAAATTTTCTACATTAAACAACTATTGCCTTTATAATAAGCAAAAAAAATATTTTTTTTCAAATAAAAAAGAAAAAACAATGAAAGAACACTGGACTAGAACTCAGGAGCCCTGCTTTTCAGCTGTGTTGCTAATTACTAAGTTGTAGGACCACAGGGCATCACCCTCATCTCTAAACAGGAGGGGCTGCAGCCGACTGGGTGTCCTCCATCTCTAAAATGGAATGTTCTCTAAGACGTATGGTAGGATAGGCAAGCTATACTCTGTATTTTGTTTTATTTTTCCTTCTATATTTACTGTCTGCCTACCATGTGCCAGGCACTGTGACACAAACAGATAATACTCGAATCCCTGCCCTCATGGAGCTTACAATACAGGCTGTTCAAAGAAACAACCAAAACCAACTGGTACAATCGTCAGCATGGTATGTGCCCTGACAGGAGCACCCAGAGGGACCTAAGAAGACACCAGGGCTAAGTCCTGAATTTTTTTTTTTTAAGTCAAACCAAAAAAAGATGAGGAAAGGAATTCCAGTCAAAGGGAGAGAAATATACAACAGCAGAAGGTGTGAAAGTAACAGTTTCTTGGGCAATGGAGAGAGAAAAAGAAAGAAAGGGCAATTTGACAGCAGTGTGGAAATTAAGAGGGCCAAGACCAGCAGTGCAGAGGCGGGTTAGGAAGAGGGAAATGAGAGGTCAGGTTGTTGACAATCTCCAGAAATCATATAGAACTGTAAATGTTTTATTCTTACTCAAACATCTATATATGTCATGAATAAACTTGCTAAATAATAGTCTAAGATGTACTTAACTATATTTACAAATATAGCATATACTTACAAAAACTTTACAAACAAAAATGTCAGTTCACTTCCATTTTCCAAGGTTAATTGTACACGTTTGTTCCTTCAATAAATATTTATTGAGTGTGTGTCATGCACATGCTAGGTGCTGGAGAAGAAGGGAGACAGACAGTAAACAAATGAACCACCAAAGCAAGCAAGAGAACCAGATTGCTTCTTCTTCCGCCCGAGATCTACTGAGATCTCCTACCCGTCTGAAGCACGATAGAGGCAATGTGATCTGGCGGCTGAGAACTCTGCACTTGGAACCAGACAGACCTTTGTTCAAATTTTTGCTATTACTACCTGAAAATGGGCATAACATTACCAAATGTGTATGGTTTTAGAGTGAATTTAATGAGACAATCAATCAATAACCAGCATGTCACCTGTACAAAAAATATTCAGCAAATGGTTCCTTTTATTTTATTGTTGTTCAATTTTAATCGTCCACTTTTAGGGCGGCCCATGATCTCCCACTACACAGACAAAGTTATGCACAGTGTAGAAAAGAGGGGGAGCAAGGTATACAAAAGATCTGTTTAACATTACTAAATTCACATCTTAATGAATTCACAACTGTTTTCTTGCAAAGATGTCATGCTTGGAGCTAACATTCCTTTAGGATTTCTCAAACTGTAATATCTGCCTATGTTATAAGCCCAAGTAAATTAAATAAAAACCATCACCCCAAATAGGGTGCCAGTTACAATCTCTCCTGGGATTCCTCATTCTGACTCTAACACTAAGTCATGTAAAGACCAGAGACAAGGAAGAGCAGAGAAGTGGCTTGAGCAGTGGGCAGAGCTCCCCACACTGCAGAGTGACCGTTCACTGGGAGCAGAACTTTCTGAAACAGAAAACCAGGATGGAAGGAGAGTTTTCTAACTGGCTGTGCTCTCGAGTAATCACGTCTTCCAGAAAAGAGGCACAACAATTAACGTTTCTAAACGGAAGGGAAAAAGAGACTGTTGCCTCCCTATAACCACATACTAAAAGATTTATTTCTTACACAGACTTTGAAAACAATAGTGGTCATTTAAAGACCCTTAAGGCAGAATGTACAACACAAAAAGAAAATGTCTTCTCTGGGACCCAAGACCGTAAGGTCCAAAATGATTTTATTTAAACTTTCCTCCATAAATTTCCCTTTGCAATGAAACCAGGCAGTGATTCCTCAGCCCCAACAGAAGAATTTAAGGAGTAGAGGAGAGCCTGGACAGGATTTTCAAGTACAGTCTATGATTTTTTTTTTACTGAAGTAAAAGTCGATACCTATAAACAAAAAGAATGCTGTACTCTTACGTCTCTTTCTTTTATTAGTGGTTTACAATCTCCTTTATGCAGACAGTCCTTTGTAGATAATTGTTGTGCTTCCAGGGAACCTCAGGATCTTTTTGCCCACCTAATACCATACAGCACACCTTTTTTTGCTGCTACTCTTCCTCAGTCTCCCTCCTGCCATCAATGCCCAGGGAAGAAAGCCAGCAGGCAGTGAAGCTTCTGAGCAACCTGAGCATCCCTGCTATGCTCCATTATGCTTAAAGGTCCCCAGGCTGTACTGTGCATGAGCAAGAAGAGCGTAAACAAACCACAAAGACAGGTTCTTCCCTTTACATACAGGAGAGCTGAGCTAATGAGGCTAGAAATCCATGCAGCTGTGTTTCCCCATAACTGCTTGTGATAGCCTTATAACAGAGCACTTTTCTTCAGTGGTCCAGATGTCCCCAGCCAAACAAGCTCCCCACATTAACACCTGGCAACACAATTATTAGTGCACAGTTAAGGGGGAAAAAAC